CATGCTCTAGGTAGAATCATTTTAACCAATGGCTACACCATGTTGCTGGCCAACCCTTGGCTGGCGCCTTCTTCCTGCAGGGGACCCTCAGCCATGCTTTGCATCAGGGCTTTCTCCTTTTGCTCCTCTTCGGTCTGTTTCTGATGGCCGTGTTCGGGAATATCATACTGATCCTTCTGATCCACACAGACTCATCTTCACATTTGCCCATGTACTTCTTTATCAACCAGCACTTGTTCGTGGGTGCTGTTGGACCACCTGACCAGCACGGAGACAATCTCCACCCCTGGGTACGGACCCAGATGCACTTTGACCTGATGATGGTCAGAGCACAGTACCGTATGCCATAGCCTATGACCGCTATGCGGCCATCTGCCATCCTCTTCAGTACCTGTCCTGATGAGCATTCAAGTTTATCGACTCCTGGCGCCTTGCTGATGGGTTGTGGACTCACTGGACAGTTTCATCCTCACTCTCATCACCATGGCCTTCCCTTTCTGCAGGTCCTGAGAGATCCACCGCTTCTTCTGCAGGTTACTGCTGTCCTGGGGCTCCCCTCCTCAGACACTACCACCTATGAGGTTCACACATGTCTGTGTGCATACTCACACTCCTTGTCCCTGTGACAGTCATCCTAGCCCCTTCTCACTTCATCATCCTGACCATCCACAGGATGACCTCCTCTGAGGCCCAGGAGAAGGCCTATATTCCTCCCACGTGACCATGGTCAGCTGCTTCTATGGCATTGCTATCTACAATAGTGCTCCCAGATCCCAGAAAGGACCCGATATCCCTTCTCCACACCATCATCATACCTGTCCTGAATCCTTCTATTTATAGCCTAGGAACGAGGATGCCGCAGGGGCTCTCAAGGAAGCACAGGGAAACTCCTCGCTGAAACCTGAGGAAGTCAGTCTTCTTACAGGGCCCTTGCTCACGTCATGTGTCCCCCCAGCAAGTGACCAGCTGCCTCACTGAGTTATCCCTCTGAGGACTTCAGCCAAATTTTCCTCTGTCCTCAAATCAGTTGCTCATGTTTAAGATGAAACTCACCTTTCCTTCCCTCACAGCATCAACCTCTATTCTGTCCCCTTGGCCCAATGGCTTTTTTTTTAGATTACAGTTGAGAAACATGAAAATCACTCCATGTTGGTGGTGCCCAGAAAAAACCTTCACTGTGAAGAGTGTTTAGCAGCACAGATTCAAGACTGGTGTGACTGTGACACATTCTGATTATCCAACGTCCTCTCCTTAACAAGCCCGTATTGGTGCCACCTCATCTGACCCACCATCACCCACATTTCCCAGAGGATGGGATCTATTAGATTTGCCCTGACTTGGTCCACGCAAGAGTCCACAGGCCAACCTTAGGCTTTGGGCTGACATGTAAAACACTCAGACTTCAGAGAGTCTAAGTCAATAAAACTGATTTTCAGTTTCTCATTTTCAGTTTTGCTTATCAGGGAAATTAATATCAAAACCATGCTGATAGCAACCTCACATCTGTTAGACTGACCATTATCAAAAAGATAAAAATAGTAAATGCTAGCAAGAATAGAGAGAAACAGCACTCTACCTACTCTCGGTGGGGATACAAATTAATATAGTCAGTATGGAAAACAGTACACATATTCTCAAAAATATAAAAGGGTAATAACTATTTCATCTAGGTTTCCTACTACTAGATGTATTTCCAAAGTAAATTCAATTGGAATACCAAAGAGGTGTGTCATACACCTGGCCTCCCATGATCATGGTATTCTTGACTGTTACAAAGAAGCAGAAACAACCAAAGGCATCCATCAGGAGAGGAATGAAATGAAGAGAAGAATGAATGAAGTTAGATATGATGGCTATCAAAAATCGTGCCACTATAAACATAGGTGTGCATGTTTCTGTAATGCTTTGAATATTTTGGGGAAGATACCCAGGAGAGGAATGGCTGGTTGAAAGGGACCTCTACTCGTTCTTTGAGGAATCGCCACATTGACCTCCATAGTGGTTACCCCAGTCTACACTCCCACCAATAATGGAGAAAGTTCCTTTTTCCCCACAGCCCCGCCAGCATTTGTTATTGTTTTATTTCTTGATAATAAGCATTGTACGGGGATTTAGCTCAGTGGCGTAAGCACCTGTCTGAAAGCGCAAGGTCCTGAGTTTAATCCTGGTACTGAAAAAAAAAAACTAGATAATAAGCATTGTTGTTGGGATAAGGTAGGTTATCAGTGTTGTTTAATTTGCAACTCTGGAAAGATCAGTGATGTTGAACATTGTTTCGTATATTTATTTGCTATTTGTATTTCTTCATCTGAGAAGTATGTGCTCATCTCAGATGCCCATTTTTGGATTGGGTCTTTAAATTTGGGGGGCCTGATTCTTTTTAGTTATTTATATGTTCTTATAACATTTTTAATTGGGAAGTTTTCATCAGTTATATGCCAAAAGCAAAACTGTATACCACAAGTATGGCATAACAATCTCTTCTGTATTAATCAGGAGAAAATATATGTATCAATTTTTAAAGTGGCACCTTCACTGAAAAATTGCAAATAATTTGTCAAAAACCCAGCACTTGTATGATGAATATGCAAATTAAATTCACAATACGGTCCATTCTTGTGGGATAACATGGAGGAAAAATGGGCAGTGACATGAATAAAGCCAAAGATGCCACAGAACTGTCTCTGTGGTCAGCATAGCGCGTTCCTGAGGGAAGCAACCATGGCACGTGATGTGAAGAGACCCTGGGAAGGGGTGTCGGCAGACAGGACTGAGGAATTTCTTACTCAGATACACACCTCAGTGTGGCTTAGACTAACAAACAATTGGGAGGAACCTACACTTAAAATAAGCAAAGCATTGGGCTATAAATTCTACTAACATTGTAAAGCTTTATATTTTTAAAATATTTCTGAAAACATTTAAACAGAGACATATGTATTGAATTACAATGTTTTGCTGAACATTTAGAAAAATATAGAGCTAACTAAGCATGAATGTATTCTATCTATATCAGATATATACATATATTTTACCCCCATACACTTTATTTAAGTATGTGTTGAAAATGGAAAACAAGTATTATATAGGGCATCTGCTGGATGGGTGAGAAATGCCTTTGTTTCTTCTTTTAATTATACACAGTCCTTATTCTATTTATTTATATCTGATATATGCCTCAAGTTCCCTATGGTGTTCCTAGAAGACATTTATAAAGTGAAAACATGATCTACTGCAAACACAACTCAGCATCATTTCAAACAGAAGTGCTACATTGCTCTGAATTAGCTGTTCTTTCCAGTGATGTCATTTCCAAAGCAAAAGCCCCATGGGCCCCTGAGTGTCCTGTCCAAACTCCGCTCTCTGTCCTCAAGAGCTGAGCACACAAATAAAATGCACTGGAAACAGAGAGCAGAGGCTGGGACCCAGTCTTGGAGGACAGAGTGAACGTTCTGTCCTCATTCCAGACAGACTGGTTGGAGAGGAGACCAACCCAGAGACAGTGAGCACCCAGAGCCAGGGTTCTGAGCTCAGCTGAGTGTCTGCTCCTGGCTGGGGCCCCAGACAGGGCCCCCTCTTACTCAGCTGCTGAGCTTCTGGGAGCCCTCACCCTTCCTTGGCATGAACTTTACACTCTGCACTGTTTCCCGCCCCCAGAGAGCCCCTTCCAGAGTCGTGTCCTCCGTGATTACTCCTGACATCAACGCTCTGATGCTACCCATTTGTGGAGTGCAGCATCTGACCTGCCCGAATCCCACGAAATCTTTGTTTGCTCAGTCGCTTGCCTGCTCTCCCTCTCATCACAGGCCCAGCAGCTCTAAGGAAGCAGAAGCAGCAGCAGCATCTCTTCCACCCCGGAATGGTCCATAAAGGATCCCAGCGCCTGCTGTGTGGTAGGAATTGAACAGCACCTTTAAGGTCCACTGAGCAGCCATCTCTTGTGATAGAGTACTATACAATGTTTGCATTGGTTCTCCACATTCAAGATCTAACATTCACCTCTGTAACTCAGTTTCCTTCTACTCAACCTTATTTTTGTGTTCCTTGCCCTTGACAGTCTTGATTTCCTTCAAATTAATGTTCCATGAAAATGTCTTTCACATCTAATGACCCAGGTTGGTATAATTTATTTAATGCATCTGAGTGATATTTACGCCCCGCCCACGAAACAAAACTTTAAAACAGCACAGACTTCTTAATTCTGTTGCTTTGATTCATTTTAAACTTAAATTATTTTTCTTGGTAGAAGTTCATATACACTGCCCATTTGATATTGAAGACTTCAAAATTAACATTTTAGACCAGGAATCAGCAATCAGAGTACTTTCTCTGCTTCGAGAGTTTTTGTAATTATTACATAATTTTTTCCTTTTTTCAGATCACTTTTATCAGATGTTTGTAGTACATGAACTCTCCTACCATTCCCTGCCACCTCCTCTATCTTTTGCTCCTTATTTATAGTGTGGATTTCTCACATGACAGAACCATGATTAGGTTTTATGCTAAAAACAGTAGGCACTGAGCTGCCATCCCCTTCTCTGGACTTCATTCTTATAAACAGGATTTGTAATTTCTCAGGTGACAATAGTGACTTGGATGTGATGCCACTTACTTCAATTAAGTTTTTTAAAGAAAACAAAACTGTTGTACAATTGAGGGTCCTTCCTCAGCCCTCAGAGAATGTTCCAGCTTTACCTTTTAGATTGTGCATTGCTGCTTGAGAAGAATCGAAAGACTTTGTTTCTGGGAAAATGTCTCCTGATTTCCTGTTAACATCAGCAAACAATGCAAGTCAGACCTTTTGCTAATTTTGTGGACACATATTTGAAAGTTACATCTCTGTATTCAACAATTCATTGCAAACCTTGTAAACTCGTCTGTCTATGTGATTGAAAGGACAGTGCAGGAAGTACTTGCAAATGACCTGCTGTGATCATCTGAGGGCCTGCCCGGGGAATGTCAGGATTACAGATTTTAGAGGTGAGTTCTCATGAATAGAATCTCAAAAATACCAATATGCTGTTTTAAAAAAACCTATGGAGAGATGTTCTATGTTACTGGTATAACATGGAGGAAAACATTCACATCTCCTATTGGAATACTACCTGGGAAATCTATCTATCTCTAGATAAATAGCATCAGGGTGTTACCAAAACTGATCATTACATCCAAACCCAAAGACAAGAGCAGTCAGAATGGCCAACGCGAGTTTCCCAGCATACTTCATTCTTCTGGGCTTCTCCAAGTGGCCCCGGCTCGAAGTGGCTCTCTTCTGGATTGTTGTGGTCTTCTACATCATGATTGTCCTCAGCAACTCGACCATCATCGTGCTGTCACGTGTGGACTCCCACCTCCACACTCCCATGTACTTCTTCCTCAGCAATCTCTCCCTCCTGGAGCTCTGCTTCACCACAACCACTATGCCCCAGATGCTCTCCAACTTGTGGGGTCCTGACAAGCACATCACCTACACAGGCTGCATCATCCAGCTCTGCGTGTTCCTCTGTGCTGGAGCCACGGAGTGCATCCTGCTGGTGGTCATGTCCTTCGACCGCTATGTCGCCGTGTGCCAGCCCCTGCGCTATCCCATCATCATGCACTGGCCCCTCTGCTGGAAGCTGGCCCTCTCGGCCTGGCTGTCTGGACTGACAGAGTCTCTCATCTTGTCTCCTGTCATGCTCCAGCTGCCCTTCTGCTCGCATCACCGCCTGGATGATTTCCTGTGTGAGGTTCCCTCCCTCATACGCCTGGCCTGTGGCGACACTTCCAGCAACGAGTGGCAACTGACTGTCTCTTCCATCCTCTTCACCATGGTGCCGGTGGGGCTCATCCTGACTTCCTACGGCTACATAGCCCGGGCCATGGGGAGGATGCAGTCAGAGGAAGGCAGGCAGAAGGCCGTTTCCACCTGCTCTGCCCACCTGCTCGTGGTCTTCATGTTTTATGGCACGGTGGCCATGGTGTACACGGACCCCAAGACCGAGTTCGCTTCACAGAACGGCAAGTTTTTCACCTTCTTCTACACTGTCGTCACACCTTTGTTCAATCCTCTCATCTACACTCTGAGGAACAAAGACGTAAAGAGTGCTTTGCTAAGACAGCTCAGAAAGCGCATTCGTCCATAAAAGGTGTTGCTGAGACACCACTTGAACCAGACAGGAAGTGCGAATGCATTCAATCACAGGCTCTGAAAATCACTAAAAACAGTTCATACGGTACAAAGAGGGCTTGTTTTATATTCACTGAATTTTCCATGTTATTTGCTTAAAAATAATAGTAGTTTGGGCAAACAATAAGTGTTTAAAATTCATTTTACTAGGGAAGATGACTAGTTGCACAATAAACTTTGAGGAATTTAAATTATACCTTAAATGACTTAACTCTCATGAGCTTAACATTCTAGAATTATTGAGTAGGACTGTGAATTATTTACTACTTAAATTTCAAAATAAAGGCTGGCTAGAACTTGGTTGATGGATTTTCTTATATGCTCTTGAAGAAAGGAAAATTTGACTGCAGTCCCCCTAGTCTTTCCTTTCTAATTTGGGTCTGAGGATTGCAATTTGAAGGCAAAAAGATTCTCCTTGCATATTTTTTTTTTTGCTGTATTCTTTTCTTTGAACTTTTCAGAAGATGAAGCCATCAAACCTAGGAGCTTCTGAGACATAAGAACACAAGGGAGATATGGACCCTTAGAGTTCAAGAGTAATACACATTTAATTTCCATGTGATTTCAAATATATTAAAAATGTGGGCAAATGTGTTTCCCTAGGATTTTAAATAAATGTACTACATTTAATACAAAATAAATATACATACATATTTTATAAAATGAAATGACTCGTGAATTCTGTTATTTTCTTGGTAGTGAAACTATGAAATACAATCTTACCAAAATCTAAAATTTTTTCTGCAAATAGACTTACATACTAACATATGGTACCAGAAATTAAGCAAAATATAATGTGTTGGAAATTCCTTCAAGTGTTGTTAAATCTTTCTTTGACCCTTAATCTGGTGGAAATAGCAAAGTTACTACCAGCATACAGAACTGTAGATATAGCTATCCTAGTTTACAGTGTGTTCTGGGACAAAATAGAATCAGATTTGAAAGCAATAACACAAAATTAAACAATTTAGGTAAATTTCAGAGATGAAAATTAAACCTTAAAGGGGCTGGGGATTTAGCTCAGCAGCATAAGTGCCTGCCTTGCAAGCAGGCAGTCGTGAGTTCGATCCCTGGTACCAATAAAAAGGAAAAAGACAAAAAAAATTAAACATTATATTTCTAAATAGTCTGTGGGTCAAAGGAAAATACTAAGAAATTAATGCTGCTATTATTAATTTTGAAACAGCTAAATTATCAGTCAAAAGTAGAGACAATTTATAAGTATTTTTAAATATATGTGTGCTCATCACTCATTAGAGTAATTATTATGTTTGAATATGAATGCACAAGGTCTAAGAGGATGGAAGAAAAACAAACCCAAATAAAGTTTTGGAAGCTAGAAAATAAAAGGTTAACCCATATTTCACTGATTATGTATTTAAAAAGTAGAGATAAAGCCAGTCATAGGTGAAGCTCAGACACCACTCAGATCCTTCTGGAAGGGCCCTGGCAGCTTAAAGTCGGGGTATCCTGGCACATTTGACACTGCAGAAGGCACTGAAACAGGAGGCTGCCTTAAAATCTGGTTAAAATCCAGGCTGCACAGCCAGACCGCAGCACGCGCCTCAAGGTCCAGCTGTCCCTCCCACTTCTAGTACAACTGGAGGCCTTTATAACACTGAGGTGTTTAGTCTCCAGAGTTCCTGATTTGTAAAAAAAAATAAGCACAATATGAAAATATGTGTGGAAAGTCTACATACTGCACTACTACATTCCCTTGTGCCTTCCTTAGTCCTCAGAATTCTTTTTTTTTTAAATTTTATTTAAAAGGAAAAAGAGAAAAACACAAAACAAAACAAAGCAGTGTAAGGGTACAAGTAATACAGAACTACAAAAACAAAAACAAAAACAAAAAACAGTAAGAAATCACCAGTTAATAGATTACACATTATCATCTTAGAGATAGTTGCTCAAATTACAGTATCAAAGAATACAAAGTGGACATTCAAACAATGAGACTGCAAACAGTTGTGTTCAATGATCCTACCAAAAACATTAATATGGTCAGCTATTTAACACTCCTAAAAACACTTGCTGTTGTATCCTTTAGAGCTCTTTTTTTCCCTCTCTTTTTTACAACAAAATTTACACATTTTGTGTTTTTTTTTTAACTTAAGAGGAAAAAGAGAAAAACACAAAACAAACCAAAGCGGCGTAAGGGTACACGCAATACAGAACTACAAAACAAAACAAAACAAAACAAAACAAAACAAAACAAAACAAAAAAACATAACAGTAAGAAATCACCTGCTAGTAGATTACACACTATCTTCTTGAAAATAGTTCCTCAAATCACAGTATCAAAGAACACAAGGTGGACATTCAAACAGGGAGACTGCAAACAGCTGTGTTCAATGTTCCAAAAACATTGATAAAGTCAGCTATTTAACACCCCTAAACACACTTGCTGTTATATCCATTAGAGCTCTTTTTCTTTTTCTTTTCCCTCTCTTTTTTACAACAAAATTTACACATCTTGGATTTTATTACTCCTTAGTGCTTATTACTTTTTTTGGGGGGGGGGGAAGAATACAGTCAAATATGGCAAAACAAAGCTGTCAGTCAATACCAAGGATAGACATAGCACATGGTGTAGAACAGAGTACAAGTTTATCAACAATGGTTATCAACGTTGTCCCTTGTTTCCTTAAAAAGAATTGTCTATCTTATTAGATATTATAAAGTTGGACAAAACAGTAGAGAACAAGACCAATAGAACTTAGGCATTGTAAACATTACAGGACTTCCAAAGAAGACAATAGTCAAACCAGAATGGGTATCTTAGTGAATCTTATTGTCTTCAAAGTAGTTGCCTATTTCTTCAAACTTGATACTATCATATAGAATGGAACAGAGTCTAATCAGTCAAAACAAGATCGTGGGAGTACTACAGGACTTCAAAACAAGTTAATAGGAAATTTAAAAGAGTTACTATTTATATATCCTAATTTTTTGAATTTTTTCTTTAATTAAGACAAACATAAGAAATGACTAAATATTTTTTTTTGAAACAATAAGGGGGAGATTGAGATAAAACAGGACATAACTATATAACAATAGAGGTCACAGCATGACTGTTTCAACAACCTAGTACTTCACCACCTTATAACCTGACTTAATAGTATTTACTATAGTGTCTTTTTCCTTGAAATATTTGGATAAAACTTCATATACTCTAGCTTCAAATATTTTCATATCAAGAAGCCCAAAATAAAGCCTTTCTACTTAATGAAAGAAAACTTTATAAGGCTTCAAGGCCACCTAATGGGGAATCATGATTACCACATATTTTTATATATTTGAATCATTATTTACATTAGGGAAACTATTCGGTATTCACACATGCGAGATTGATTTATTTCACTAATGAGTATGGTCTCAAGCTGCGCCCATTTATTGATAAATATCTCAATGTGATCCTTCTTTATAGCTGAATAATACTCCATTGTATAGAAATACCACAACTTTTTTATCCATTCCTCAGTTGATGGGCACTTGGGTTGTTTCCAAGATCTGGCGATTACAAATTGTGCTGCTATAAACATAGGTGCACATATATCACTGTGGTATGATGCTTTCAGTTCTTCTGGGAATATGCCTAGAAGTGGAATAGCTGGAATAAATGGGATTTCCAGTCCCAACTTTTTGAGAAATCTCCAGACAGATCTCCACAAAGTCTGTACCAGTCTACACTCCCACCAGCAGTGCAGGAGAGTTCCTTTTTCCCCACAGCCTCTCCAGCATTTGTTGTCGGTTTTCTTGATCCTGGCCATTCTTTCAGGAGTGAGATGGTATCTCAGTGTGGTTTTAATTTGCATTTCTCTAATGACCAATGATGATGAGCATTTTTTCATGTATTTATTTGCCATTTGCATTTCTTCATCTGAGAATTGCATATTCATCTCAGATGCCCATTTTTGGATTGGATCTTTGAATTTCGGAGGTCTGAGTTTCTTTAATTCTTTATATGTTTTAGACAAGAGACCCTTGTCTGAGAGAGAGTTCACTAAAATCTTCTCCCAGTTTGTGGGTTTTCTTTTCACTATGCTGGAGATTTCTTTTGACATGCAGAAACTTTTTAATAAGAAGTGGTCCCAGTTATTGATTCTGGGAAGTATTTCCCGTGCGGTTTGAGTCCTGTTCATGAATTCTTTACCTACTCCTATGTCTCCAAGGTTTCTACCTATTTTGTCTTCCAATAGATTTAGTGTTTCTGTTTTAATATTCAGATCTTTGACCCATTTAGATTTTAATTTAGTACATGGTGATAGACATGGGTCTAGCTTTAGTTTTCGGCAAATGGAGAGCCAGTTTTTCCAGCACCATTTATTAAAGAGACTGTCGTTCTTCCAGTGAACATGCTTGGCTCCTTTATCAAAGATAAGGTGGTTGAGTGTGTTCGTAGTTGTGGTTGTATCTTCTAATCTATTCCACTGATCTTTGGCTCTGTTTTGATTCCAATACCATGTTGATTTTACTACTGTTGCTTTGTAGTATAACTTCAAGTCAGGGATTGTGATGCCTCCTGCTTTGTCTTTGCGACTTAGAATTGCGTTTGCGATTCTAGGTCTCTTCTGGTTCCAGATGAAATTTAGGAGTGATTTCTCTAGATCTATAAGGTATGTTGATGGTATTTCTATTGGGATTGCATTGAATCTGTATAACAGTTTTGGGAGAATGGCCATTTTCACAATGTTTGTTCTTCCTATCCATGAGCAAGGGATGTCTTTCTATTTTCTGAGATCATCTTTAATTTCTTTTTTCAGTGTATTATAATTTTCACTGTATAAGTCTTTCACTTCTTTCATGACAGTAATTCCTAAATATTTCATTTTTTTGCTTGCTAGTGTGAATAGTCCAGTTTCTCTTATTTCCCTCTCTGTAGTTTTGTTGTTCGTGTATAGGAATGCTATTGATTTCTGAGTATTGATTTTGTATCCAGCCACATTACTGAATTTATTTATTGTATCTAAGAGTATTTCAATGGAGTTTAGGGGGTCTTCTATGTAGAGTATCATGTCATCTGCAAACAATGCTAATTTAACTTCTTCTTTTCCTATCTTTACCCCTTTTATTTCTCTTTCTTGCCTAATTGCTCTGGCTAGTACTTCCAGTACTATATTAAATAGGAGTGGTGATAAAGGACATCCTTTAAAGTAAAGGCTTTCAATTTTTGGCCATTTAGTATGATGCTGGCTGTTGGTTTGTCATAAATGGCCTTTATTATATTGAGGTAAAGACCA